AGAAAATAGGCCAAAAATATTTACCTATTTTTTTATGACCAAAAATTTATGAGAGACTCCAATAAATTGAGATTGTCCAGTATATTTTCCATGTTTATACCTTCCATCATAGTATGAAGGATATATTATGTTTGTCATTCCGTTTGTAACACCTCGAAATATACAGTTTAGACCCCACAAAGCATGGTTCAATAAGAAAGTTTAGTCAACTTTAAAGAAACTAGAAAATATCAACTCTATGCTGGAGTCTTATAGTGTCAAATAGACTTTTAAATATGCAACAGTTGACTTTGTTTATTTTTCATTTTATAACAAAAATGTTTATTGTGGAAAACCCGCGAAACAAGAATGGAATTTTGGGGTTATTCCACAAGATTGAATGTAAAATAGTAGGACAATACAGTTATATTCCAAAATTGTACAATGCCTTGCCTATTAATGTCGAAAGTATGCATTTATGTTGCAACCGAATTTCAAATTATTGTATTTGTTATTTAAATCGATACACATACATACACATAATGTGTATATGTTTTGACAGAATATAGGCACCAAAAGAAAAAAATTGTATTTAGGGGGTAGCTTTGTTCTTCCTTCTGTAATTGTGCCAGTATATATATTCTTTACCGATGTCCGTTCGTCTGTGGAAATCACTCTAGCTTCCGAACGAATTGAAGTAGATTGATAAAATTTTACTCAAATGTATATTATGTCTGTAGGACTTTTGCTATTGAAAATGGGCCATGTAGGTCCACGTTTTGGTATAGCCCCCTGTAAACCGGGATCAATAATTAAAAGACCCAATGTCTTTTCCGTTTGAGCGTTTGTAAGACACTGAATTTATCTATTAAAAATATTTCTTAAGAACTAGATATGATAATATGACTTAATCTAAATTATCATTAAGTGTAAATGAGAGAGATATATACCAACTGTACACATGCATATGTACCACGCCACCATTAACTTAGGGGGAGGTCATACACACGCATAGCTATCTCACATGTGGCAAGCAAACATGCTGCACTTGCTTATCAGTCTGTGTAAAGATTACATCCCATAATCTAACTCCACCATAACACATGCAGCAATTGAAAATTCTGTATTATTTATTTCTAACTCGAAGGTCTGCTCACCACATTTTCTTATCTTATTTAATGTGGACTGTATTAAGAAGATCCCTGTTTAACAAATCCCTTTCATCTACACTAGGTAGCCCCGTTATTCTCTTTTATTATAAAAACATGTTCACTTATTCGTGAACACCGCCATATAACGGTACCTCCCGATATTCGGTATTTTGATGATTTTTGCGGCAATATTCATCAGCATTGTTTAAAATTTGGTATTTGTCTGTGCAGGTCCAATAGCCCCCATATAACGGTACGTCCCAATATTCGGTACTTTGATAATTTTAGCGACATTATTCACCGGATTTTTTAAAGTTGGTATTTGATGTTCGTAGTGGATACTACAGCCTATGACAGAAAGTTGTCTGTGCAGGTTCACGTCTTCGTATAGACCCCATTTTAGCGACATTATTCACCGGAATTGTTTCAAATTTGGTATTTGAAGTTCGTAATGGATACTACAGCCAAAGACAGAAAATTGTCTATGCAGGTCCTCGTCTTCGTATAGCTCCCATATAACGGTACATCCCAATATTCGATATTTTGATGATTTTAGCTACATTATTCACCGATTTTTTTGTTAAGTTTCGCATTTGAATATTGTAATTAATGGCTTATGACAAAAGATACCTATCCATGTCGTCGTATAGAACTTACAGTTTTTTTTTACTTGTTTTTATTTATTTGTTGATGTGTATGCATATATTGTTATTGAATGAGAGTCATATCTCTGCCCTCATCTACAATTTTAAAAGGGCATTATACTACGTCATTTTAGGAATATTTTTTAATTATTGGTTTCGTACTCAATTGTATATTTATGCCGTGTTTGTTACTTCAAAATTTCAGCACACACAAAAAACATCCTGACCGTCGTAGTAACACACACACACTTTCAATTTAAGCACGCGCACACAAATGACACACAATTATGACGACGACATGCCCCGCAAGCAAAATATATCTCGCAAATCAATTAGAAGTCGCACCTAAGCGATAGAAAACATCGCGATTGATATCGCTTTCTTACCCCGGAAGGAGCATCCTTCGTGAAGAAATGAACCACGCCCACGATATTTTTAAGCGTGACTAAATAGCGTATACAGCATTAATTCTAATAATCGTTGAAGTCACTTCCTCGACAGTTATTGGAAGTGAAAAAATATGTTTTATTATTTTTTACTCCAGACTTAAGCAATTGTTTTTTTTTTTTTATTGTTATTGGTACTTTTATCAAAGTACACTTGCAGTGAGTGCCTCACTTCCAAATGCTTGCAGGGTGGTTCGATGTCATCATCGATACCCTGCATTCATGGAGAACACCATGCAAATATTGGAGTCAGCCATGCCACGATCGAACCTTAGATAATGGCACACATGAATCAAAATGGGGGATGTTGTTGGTTGTCATTGTCTATCAACTACATAGCTCTTGATTGAGTATACAAAGTCAGTGTGTCGAAAAAAGCATAATTCATACAATTCGTCTTGTGCAGGCCTTTAGTTTTAACAGAAAGGCGGACTTCGTTAAATCGACTTAGAATTTTATGCTGATTATGAATATATGTATATACCATGACCAAAAGGCGAATTCTAAAAATACCACTCTTCCATCTACATGTATTGCCAAAATTCGTTATTGGAGCGAAAAAAATTACTTCGCCTTGACATAGCAGCGAATTTATTATTTGTAAATTTTACAATATTTATGTTTAATATAAATATTGAAAATAATTTTAAGTTTTTTTTTTTTTTAAATTGAACAGTGTTGGCATGTTTGTTTGGGATACCGTAGTATTTTGTTGTTGCAAAAATCGTCAGGCTTTATCCCATTATGGTAATGTTTACCAGGGGGTAAGGCAGGGAATACCTAGGTTTCGGAAAGAGCCACCAATCCTCATCAGTTCCATTGTTTTTGCCTGGGATTTAAATTTATATATTTTTATTTACATTTCAACTAATGTAGCCTTAAAGGTCCTTTCAAAACATTTGGTTGAAAAATAAATGAATTTTTTTTTGACGTCATTGGACAACACATTGTACAAAACTGTATTGTTCTACTATTTTAGATTCAATCTTGTGGAATAACCCCAAAATTCCATTCTTGTTTCGCGGGTTTTCCCCAATTTAACAATTTTGTTATGAATGATAAATAAACAAAACCTACTGTTGAATACTATAAGACTCCGGTATTTTGCCATGTCTGTAATAATTATACCATGAGGAAATACAAAAATTCAGTTGCAATCACAATGCGTATTGCAATGTACGTATGTATGTACGAAATTTACACTTTTTGCAGAGGAAAAATTCCTTTGAGAAAGAAAATTTGACCTTTCATTTCATTTTCGCGTTTTATGTTTATTTATTCAAAATCAATGCAAAAAGTAGTTTCGTTTATTTGATACAACATAACTTGTTGCATTTGTTTTAGTTCAATTCGGCCCATAATTTATACTTGATCGCCCTACGCCCTTTTGTCAGCCGATGACTTAAGTATAAGATGAAGATGATTTCATCAAATGATTCAATGAACTGGTATCATATAAGAAAACATAAAAAATCTACTTATTCTTGATAAAACATTTTAAAACTTTTCACCTATCAAGCGTTGATGTATCTATCTGTTTTATTGTCTGTTTATATTTCGTACTGCGAGTCCAGTCACAATAAGTGTTGATACACCCTTAGTGGAATATATGCCCCTCAACTGATGCAAAGACATAAAACGGTGAAGATTGTACAAAATGCATATTGTCTCGATCAGTCAATAGATAACCGACGACATACAATAAATGCATTGAAAATAATACAGAAATATGTTATTCCGAAATCGCCAAAAAATGGCGGAAAACCGCAGGGAAAAGCAACATATTATAAATCCATTGTACATACACATATGAGAGATGGGAACCTGTTTTCCTGTTTACACAGTGAAATTGACAAAGTGAATTACAGTAAACGCAGAGATGGAAATGCCCATTTGAAATGACTTTACCTTCTTAATTTTAACATAAATAAATCCTAATAATATGAGACAGTCTTGATAAAATTTGGAATGTAGCGTTTATTTGGCTTTGCGGCAAGGTTTCATCCTTATTATCGAAATACAGGGGAAACCGTTCATACACATATCAGAGATGGGGACCTGTTTAGGACGTGAAATTGACAAAGTCAATTAAAGTAAACGCAGAGAAGGAATTGCTTATTTGAAATGTTTCGAACCATTAATATTTTTACTTTTAAATTGTTGAGAAAATGAGCCACCAATACTCCCTTGTTTTTCAAAAATTTCCTTACGAAATTACTCCAGTAGCAGATAAAAGTGTCTACAGCTGTCAACATTGTTTAGCCCCCATTCTCCCGATATTTGGTATTAGGATGATTCATCCACATTTTTCAAAGAATGGTTATAAATTTGGATTGTATGTTCCATGCCAAAAGTTCAGCCTGGCTGAGCTTTTCAGTTTTATTGTTGTTTCTTATCAGGGTAAAATTCTCCAACATTCCACCGAAGTTAAATTTTAAATTGAATTATTTTGTTGTACTATGTCCTCATATGGAAGGTATATTAACTTTATCATTACGTAATAGTCAGAAAAAAATGAATGTTTGGAATTGAAAAACTATAAATCGAAAACCCTGAATGGGGAATATTTAAAAACAAGAAGTATGATTGCTTAAGAGCGAATCTGCAATCCTATGCAAACAACCATACAGTTGATATATTTAAAATAGTTTTAATGCACCATTTATCTATTTTACTACATGTTTGATTTTCTATCCTTTCTACGTCACCTATTTTACAGCAGTTCTCCAATAACTTACCCTTTTATTAAAAATATAATTACACAAGATTTTTGTAAAGAATTGATTTTATTAGGTTTTGCTTTTATTAATTTTGTTTTAATATTCGAACCGAAAAATAATAAGTGTTATCTATAATCATATAATTAATCGTATTAATATTTTTATATTTATATATGTCACTACTAACCTTATGAATAGTTATTTTAATAATATATTTCAATTTTCTTTCAAAATTAAAATTTTATTTAATTTTTGTTCTGCATTTGGTTGTCTTCAATGGATAGTCATCATTAAATGGAACCGAAAACCCATCCATCCACTCAGTGTTATATGTCTTACATGCAGAATGATAAAGTCACATCAATTATTTTTTATCGTATTGTATGTTATTTGTTTGTGTTTTCATTTTGATTGTAAATTGTGGGATGTTTACGATGATTTTGTTTTTCTATACCTTTTTTTTTCAAGACATGAGAAGGGCGGGTGAGGAAACGACGACACAGTACTGTACCGTGTGACAAAACATAATAATAATAAAATTAATATTTTAAATATATGTATATGCATATTTAAGTATGTAGAACAAACATTACATTGGATTTACAGTTTAAAATGAGAAATGCATTAGGGAAGTTGTCATTGTTTTACATACAATAGAATAAACTTGGGATAAACTTAGTTTGAACATAGTTGTAATGATAATAATTATAAATGTATAAAATAATACAAATAGCATATTAGCATTAGTTAATAAATTGTTTTTTCTTTTTTGTTTAGTTTAATAGATTATAATGTTTATATATGTGTGTATATTTTGTTTATTTGTTTTATTCTTTAATCATTTGTATCAAAATTATTTTTAATTTAAATAAAATTCTAAATATAAAAGAAAAATATCGTTTGCTAAAAACGAATGTTATTGGTGTTGTTGTATATATATGTGAATAGATAATGTATTTGTAATGTATGCGAATATGTATGTATGTATGTGTTCTTTTCTACAAATTGCTCAAAAAATTTTTATGTATGCATAAAATGGACTGACAATAGTCTGAACTAATGAAAAGAAAAAGAAATATAATATTTGTGTGTGGTGTATAGAGCATCTATAAATAAAAAATTACTTCATTTAGAAGCAAAAAAAAAAAAAAAACAATAAGTTATTATTTATTTTTAATAAAATGTGTTGTTTATAAAGGCTTATTCAAACAAAACTGCCAAACCAGGCATATAAAAAGTTGTGGTGTAAACTTAAATACAGAATTGCTTCAAGTTATAATACGAAAATATTATCAAAAAATCAATTGTTTTATTAATTATATAACATTTTGATGTGAGATACAAAATCGTTATTGTGTGTTTTGCACGTGTGTGTGTGTTTAATTTTGCGAAAAAACGAATATTACTTCGTTAAACGCATTTCCTTAAAATTAGGGAAATACGTCCCTATTTATGTACGTATTTGTTTTTTTCTTGCTAAATTTAATATTCTATTTATATATAATGCATCCACATACATGCCAATAGAGGCAGCACTCGCTTTCTAGAAATTGCTGTTGTATTGTTACTAATACTATATATATATATATCCTTTCGATTATTCTGCTTCATACGGCAGTCTGTCCATAATGAATAGTCTAGATTTCGGAATTACATTAGTGAAATAAAATGATTAGAGAATCTGGAAGATAATCAATCGTGCGCCAGAGTTTACTGTCCACGGAAGAACTGAGGGGTACAGAGGAGATTCCCTCACTTTTATTTTTTCTTTTACAACAAAGTCTTTTTAGCGGCGACTGTTTGACAAAGTATATGTTGGTGATGATACTGTGGTTATTGACGTGGCTGTGGTCCGTGATTTGTTGGATTGTTTGGAAGCAGCATTAAGCATTTATCAGTAGGCTTGAGCTTCTTTATAGTCACTCTGATCTGATGTATAGAAATCTTCCAATTTCCATTGGAGAGTTTCGAAGGTTGGTCGCCTCATGGGATCCTTGTGCCAGCATTCCAACATTATCTCATAGAGTCTTTGGTCGCAATTGGGTGGCTGTGGCATGCGATATCCGTGTTCAACTTGTGTCAACACTTCGGCATTTGTCATTCCTAGTGCACGAGTTTTAAAAGGGCAAACGTTATATTTACATGTTCGCACATCAATTCATATTAAGAAGTACTAACCTGGATAAGGTATGCGACCATATGTGACCAATTCTGTTAATAATATACCAAAACTCCATACGTCCGATTTGATGGAGAATTTAGAATAATTAGCCGCTTCTGGAGCAGTCCATTTAATGGGGAACCTTGCACCGACACGAGCCTCATATTCATCCTCCTTTATAAGCCTGAAAAAGGAAATATAGCACAGAATTATGAATCTATTGTATGAAGATATAAACGATGGTATGCCTACCTTGCCAAGCCGAAATCTGCAATCTTGACTATATTATTATCACCTACTAGCACGTTTCTGGCAGCCAAGTCTCTATGAATGTAGTTTTGGGATTCCAAGTAAGCCATGCCTGCAGCTATTTGGGCCGCCATGTCGATTAATACTGGCATTTTCAGGCTGCGACCCTTACCTGCAATGGCTGAAGAAATGAAATAAAACTGACTATAATTTACAATGAAATGTGGTGAAATGAGGTAAATATGTTTTATTGTCCTTCCCAAGGTGGATATCATCTTACACACTCGGGTAATATTTACGACATTATTCTTTGGTCTTTTGTTATTATCGGGGTTCCAGTTCACGAGCGGTTGAGTGCAAAAGTCAATTACATTATGGAGATGATATTTCCCCTGAGAGGTTAGTTAGGAATATGTTTTACACATGGCAGTGATGGCGATAATAGCTGTAAGAAGAGACAGGACGGCTTCGTACAATCACTTACCTTGCAAATACTCCAGCAGCGAACCGTGCTTCATAAGTTCAGTTATAATATATATGGGTTCCTCAACTGTACACACTGCATACAACTGTATGAGTTTGTTGTGCCGGAGTTTCTTCATGATTTGAGCTTCAGCTAAAAAGTCTTTTGGATCCATTGTGCCTAGAACCAGAACAGAAATCATGAATTATAATTATGTCTACATCACATTTTTACAAAGACTCAAGTTACCTGATTTAAGTGTTTTAATGGCCACCGAGGTGGTATTGTTCCATAGTCCTTCCCACACCTCGCCAAACTGCCCAGATCCTAATTTTCGCACGAATTTCAGTGAAGTTCTATCAATTTCCCATTGATCGCGGGTTCGATGTGATAATCCCTCGGTGACAGGTTTTTCAATCTATATACGAGAAATGTAATAACAAGAGTTTCAGTGATTGCTCATGTAAATATATTTCTTGTTGCATGGGAATGCATTATTTAGATTGAGCCTAATATGAACAAACATTGCGTGTATGTGTGTGTTTGAATAATTATGATCTGAACTAATGTGCTGTTTGGTAAATAGCGCAAAATGTAGGTAGGGCTTAGTTGTGAAAATGAAACATTAAACAGGAATTTTAATTGTAAAGTAGTAAAAGTTTACAAGGAGTCAACGTTTACAAGGAGTAAATAGAGAAAGGACTCTGAGAGAGAGAACAAACACGAATTGCAGTTTATTAAAAATAAGCTTTCATTCACTACATCATTTTCTTTATATAGGGGAGTTAGTATGATGCTACGTAATATGAATATACAAAATAGGCCCATGTCATGGAAAGTTCTCTTCGTATGACTCTACATTCGTTTTACACTATTTTGCAGTGTTCGAATCGAAGAAAAGTTATTTTAAGTTTATTTGAGTGGTTGAATAATGTTATGTCTAAATGTCTATTTTAAATCTGTAAAACTTTGATTGTGTCCTGCGTCAAAGATTCGTATACGAAATAGTTTTTAGGCTGCCCCTACTGGATTTGGAAATAGGTAAAAAAACTACACATTTATGAACCAGGTCATTCAAATATGCTTTGAGACATATGTATACACCTAGACAGCTGATATTTCAAGGTAAATCCAAAAATAGAGAGAATAATACCATTAAAAAAAAGGAGTCGTGCGACATTTGATCGTATTTTTTATAAAATAAACAACGTTAAGGTAATCATCAAGAAGAGAATAGTGCTCTTAAACAGAGAAATTCAAACGAATAACGTGAAAGTAGTTCATAAATTTTAGGTGCAAAGAATTTAAGGTATTTATTGTTAATGTAAAATGCGGCAAAATGGCTGTAATGTAATGGTCTTTTCGGTAATTATAGGCAGAAAACAAAGAAACCCACATTTTACAGATGTCATTACATCTAAAAATAAGTTTATTTTGTCAGAATTACTTTTTCGATAAGTTGCCTACTGATATTCTTGAGCTCTTAGTATTTTAAGTACTATGTCTTATGGATGCTGTCGAGCCACACAATCACCCTTATTCTACTTGTCGACGTCGATACCGCCGTAAATGTGCGGATGGCATTAGTTGTTGTCGATGTTGACTGTTTATTTATTTTTCTTCTTCGATTTGATGTTTTGATTTTTTTTTGATTTGGAATTTACATTTTTTTATTTTTTTATAAACAAAAACACTAAACAAGAACAAGTCGACATCAAAAACTCTAACCACTAAATCTGAGCCAATACAAGTCTACGTCATCGTTACATTTTCTTACAGAACACCGAAAACCCTCACAAATGATAATATTGGCACTTAGAGTACAGATTCGCAACAAACACCGTTGACAAAAAGAATAAGAGCGACTGAATGGCCACAGATCTTGTGTTTTTATACATTTTCCAACTAAAAAAATCTTAAAAATTCGCATATAAAATTTGTATTTTTAAGATATCGATTAAAAAGAGTATAACTCTTTTCATGTGTGGTAATACTAAGAAAGGATTAACACTTTTCAGCGTTGATTTATAAAAATTGGTTATTGAGTTATGACACCCTTCGAATAAATCAGCAATACGTGCAATCGGACTGTTATGTACGAACGGATTAAGAACCCGATATACCAGGATAGGTTGACAGGTCCTATTTTGGAATATAAAACACGCGAAGGGTCAATTTGGTTCTTTGGATCGCATGATTGCATATTGTCCGAGGACAACATGATTGGCATGATAGCATATTGTTCCAGGAAAACATAAAATCTTAGATCATATATCGAAGGATAGGGGCTGGCTATCTTACAAGATGAATTATGATATACTAGCTGAACCCGGTGCGCTTCGCTACCCCTTTTGATTTTATATGCATTCAAAATTTTATTTACGAATATATGTTGGATAAAGAAAACAAATTTAAAAATTAAAAAAAAAAAATATTGCACTAATTTAATGCGTTAATAAAGAAAATCACTACAAAAGTAGTAACATGACATGCATACATTTGTCCTTTGGATTTATTTATTTCATAGCAAATACCAAGCGTGCAGGAAACTGCATTTTTTAAGTAGAGTGGCATTTCTATTGCAGTTAGTGAATTCGAGATAGCAACATACTTTGCCGTAATAAGCGTATTTCAAATAAATTGTTGTGTTGTTTTTTAGTGTTAGCCTAAGGCGTTTTGGGTCAATGGTTCTTATTAAAATCATATCCCAATCTGATCCGATTTAAATATAATTTTAAAAAAATTACTTTTACACCAAACTCCGCCATACCTTTCATATTTCATTGAAATTGGTGCGTCAAATATGTGAAATCGGCCGAGAATATATATATGGGAGCTATATCCAAACCTAACTAATTTCCAATTAATTTATCACATTTATTATTATAACCAAATTCCGCCACACATTCTGAATTTCATTGGAATCGGTCATATATATCGTGTTTAGTGCATAATATGTATGAAATCGGCCGAAATATATATGTTAGCTATATTCAAACCTCAACTGATTTCAATATAATTTGGCAATTTTTGCTGGTGCCAGATTTTGTCTCTCTCGCTTTGGGTGCATCAAATATGTGAAATCGGCTGAGTATATATATGGGAGCTATAATCACATCTGAGCGTATTTGAATATAATTTGTCAAATTTATTTTTGTATTTTGTTGGAATCGGAAATACGTATCGTGTTTTGTGCATCAAATATGTGAAATCGGCGGAAAAATATATATATGGGAGCTATATTCAAATCTGAACCGATTTTAATATAATTTGACTAATTTATTTTCTCATCAAAATCCCGTTACATATTCCAAATTTCTTTGGAATCGAACATACATATCGTGTATGGTGCATAAAATACATGAAATCGGTCGAAAATATATATGAGAGCTATATCCAAATCTGAATCGATTTTAATAATTTAATTTGACAAATGTACATTTGTTTCAATTTCCGCTACACATTCCAAATTTCATTGAAATTAGAGATTCATAGCGTGTTTGGTGCATCAAATACATGAAATCGGTCGAAAATATATATGGGAGCTATATACAAATCTGAACCGATTTCAATTTAATTTGACAAATTCATTTTGGCTCCCAATTCCGTTACTTATTTTAAATTTCATTACAATTGGAAATACATGTCGTGTTTGGTCCACCAAATACATGAAATCGGCCGAAAATGTATATGGGAGCTATATCCAAATCTGAACCGATTTCAATATAATTTGGAAAATCAATTTTTTAGATAAAATCTATCACACGTTTCAAATTTCATTGAAATTGGGGATACATAGCGTGTTTGGTGCATCAAATGCTTGAAATCGGCCGAAAATATATATGGGAGCTATATCCAAATCTGAACCGATTTCAATATAATTTGGCAAACTTATTTTTGTTCCAAATTCCGTTACGTATTCCAAATTTGGAGACTGTATCTTCAACCAATCAATAGATATGTGCATATAAAATCTAAATTTTTGGGAGGTACCTCCGGTTCTGATGCTATATCTCCAGTTCCAAGTGGAAATTCAAAAATGTATATAGCCTATGTTACTTTCAGGCGATGTTGCAGTATATATGGAAATTTTCAGGAAAATCTATTCAGCGGTTTTCGAGTCCATAAATTACAAACAAACAAACAAACAAACAAACAAACAAACAAACATACAAACATTTTCCTCTTTTATAGATATAGATATTGGTATAAATAAACATACGATATTGCGTGAGCCTATGACATATGGTAGATGACAGCGGTACTTGTTTTAATGCAATTGGTGAATTATAGACTGACTGGCGAGAGGAGGAATGAATGTACACAACAACAACAATGTGATGACAAAATTACTTATATTACAATCAATCCTACCTCAAATATACCCGCAAATTGACTGGTCTTTAGTTTTAGTTTGTTTAGTATTAGTTTAGTTGTTGATGTATTTTTAATAACAATAGTAATAACAACAATAATTATTTTGTTAGTTAGAAGTCAATAACAAGACCATCGTTCTAAATAAAAGTTGTGTAGAACAAACAAATGTGCACGAGAGTTTGTTTAAATCGTGTCGAATTTAGAGAAACAAAAATTATCAATTCGCTCAGAAACAAAATAAAAATATCGCATTCGAATTTTGTTTTTGAATTATATTATGTAGGTGTATAAACAATATACAAATGGAAGAGGTGGGGGAAATAAATTTGTGATTTGTGTGGCTGGATGGAGGGTGTAGAGTTGTGGATGTGACCTTACCTGCACACACGGCTTGCATAAATTAACACACAGGCCATCCGAATCCTTGGAATAGTGTTCAACCAATTCTTGGAGTGTTCTGCAATAGAATTAATTAAATTTTGAATTATTTGTTAGAAAAAAAAAATGCTATTGCATCTTAAACTGATCAATGGTATGGTACTGTTCGTGATATACATACCTGAATGTTGTGCGTCTTGCAATGAAGAAACCACCTTCGTCCAGCTGTCTGATACGATAGTGTTTTACTGTGTCACCATCACGAACTGAAAGAACAATAAAATTTAATTAATTAACGTACAAAGCTTCAAACAATAGTCTTAATTCATATCATTATTTTGAGCGCTACGTTATGTAAGTATATATGCGCGTTTTACTTTAATATATACACAACGTTCACACTTATGCGGCGAAATGTTACAACATTTTAATAAATTTACAAAGTATTTTATTTAAAATTATATTGACGATGGCAATTTTGCTGTTATAATTATCATTAGTTTTTAAAATATATAAACTGGGTGAGATGAAAAAACTCCAATCAACTTCAGACTGCTGTCATTTCCAAGCCACTCGTCCGACAGCTGTAAAAATTATTCCAGTGACAGCACGTTATATTGTTTACAAGCGGTCTAAAGCATTTTGGTGAGAATTTTCCAGAAAAAAAGTAATTGGTGATAGAATTCAAGCGCGATAGTGTGATTTCTTTATATTTGACTGGAAAACTACAAGTGGCTATCGTTAGAGTACTCCAGCATTTAAATGTGAATAAATCTTTTGTGTCTCGTACCATCGCTCGTTACCGTGATACTGGTAGCGTAGCCCGACGCCAAGGAAGTGGACGGAAGAAAACAGCAACATCAGCAGAAATGGTTCGAAAAGTAAAGAAGCGACTTGATCGAATCTCGCGTCGCAGTGGCCGCAAATGGCTCGTGAGCTGAACATATCACAATATTCCATTCGGCAAATATTGAAAATGAGCTCGGGGTAAAGCCATTGAAATTCCAAAAAGTGCAAGAACTCACACCGCAACAGAAAGAACATAGACTCAAAAGAGCTAAAGAGTGGCTTCGCTTGGCCGAAAGTGGTGAACTGCCGAATTTGGTTTTCTCCGATGAGAAAACCAAATTTGTTTCCCAGCAGTTTATTCACAAACAAAATTATCGTGTTTTTTGACAAAGAGGTCGGCTGAAAATGTGCGCCTTCGGTTGGCCACCAGAACTCAAGCGCCGGCTATGATGATGGTGGTCGCTGTCCGCTCGTATTAATCGACCGTGGCATCAGAAAATATTCTGGAGGGTGTATTAAAGCCTTGGGCACGCAAACATTTTGGATACAAAATGAGGTTCCTCGCTTCATTTCCAGCTCACAATGGCCACCGGATACCAATCCGTTGGACAGTTGTGTCTGGAATATTTTGGAAAGCAAGGTTAGCACTAAAGAATACCAAAGTGTCGATCACCTCGAGCAAGCGCTTTGTCGGGAATGGGAAAAAATACCGCAGAGCAACATTCGGGCAGGGTGTGACGGTTTCATTGGCCGTTTGAAGGCCACAATTCGTGCCAAAGGTGACCAATTCCAACAAATCTAGACTTATTCTAAATTTTGATGCTATTTCCGACATTTTTGCTTTCATTCAATAAAATTTAAAAAAATGTAAAAATTATGGCGGTTGACTTTGTTGCAGTTTTTTATCTCACCCTGTACAGATATTACGATATGCTAAGTTTTAAGCAGGCACTTCAATGGCTCCCATCAGAAGGTATATATTCGCATCTTGGTGCCTGATTTAATATTTCGATCAATATTGATCGATATGTGAGCTATTCAAAATGTTGACTCTTTGTAGGGAAAATACCAAAATAAGTGGACCGATATTGGTAATTTTCCAAGCATATCTAACATTAATACAAATATTACAATGAGCGAAGTTTAGACTAAATCATGACTCTTTTTTTTTTGAAATTTATGATTTTTTGATATGATTTTTCAAAATTCTAACCGAAAGCGTGAATTGATATATTGTCCTACATCTCATGTATAATAAATATAAATATCGTTTAAAAAATATTATCATGGTTAAAATATACTCTCGATGTTTGTTAGTTTGTCTTTGCACTGTGATCTCTTTATTTTACGAACAATTAAATGTTACATAAAATGTCTGCTTATGAAATTACACAAGAGAAGATGCTTTGCTATTGGCAATTATTTTCATTTGACCAGTAAGCAAATGCCAGCCGCTGTGTGCATATATATGTATGTGGTACGTGCGGGCTGGTATCGCGATTTTATTAAAATTGCAACTTACCTGATAGCGAATAGTCATTATGGCGACTCTCAGAGTCTCTAATTAAAAATGCTCCATGCTCATTTTCTGGCAGTAATAATTTCTTCTCAGCCTCAATGCGTTTGATTTTACGGAAGTACCAGCTGGAAATAAGAAAACAAAAATATGTTAGCCATATTGAGGAGAGAGTGAGAGATAGAGAGCGAGCGGTATTAATATAGTGTTCGGAAGAATTATTACAGTAAGATGTCATTTCCGATTATCAACAAAGGTGAATCAGATTACGTGGCGCAAATTTCAATGATGGTAAATATGATTTTTCTAGTTATGTGATTGTTGTTGAATTCAGCTTTTGTTAAGTAATAAACTTTAATTGGAGCAAACAACAATAGTGTCAATACTGGTGCTTTTTTATAACCTCCATTCTATGGAGGGTAGATTAACTTTGTCATTCCGTTTGTAACACCCGAAATATTCATAATAGGCCCTACAAATGGCCGTCTGTCTGTTGTAATCAAGCTATCTTTCGAACGAATTGAGAAGGTTAAAATTTTGCATACATTCATAGTTTAATAGTAAGCAGGTAAAGTTCGTAAATGGGTCATGTCGATCCACGTTTTCGTATAGCCCTCCCGATATTCGGTATTTTATTTACCGGAATTTTTTCAAATTTCGTATTTGAAGTTCGTAATGAGTACAGCCTATGACAAAAATTTTTATATATGTAGGTCCAAGTCTTCGTATAGCCGCCGTAACCGTACCTCCCGATATTCGGTATTTTGATGATTTCAGCAACATTATTCAAATTTCGTACTGGAAGATCCTAATGAGTACTACAACCTACGGCCAAAAATGTTGTATGCAGATCCAGATCTTCGTATTTGAAGTTTGCAATGGGCGCATACAGGGCCACGTCTTCGTATAGTCCCCATATAACGGTTTTCATTTAAGTGGTAGTTTTCAGATTTTTTTTTTAATTTTCAAGTTCCTTCGAAATGGTGGCGGGCCCCGCCGAACTTAGATGTTTTTTTACATGCTGATTTTATTGTAATACCATGCTATGAGGACAACAACATTGATGGCAATTTTTAAATGATCCCACTCTCAGTTCGAACTTAAGCAAACACAAAAACACCAAATAACTTTTCTTGCTAAACTAATCGAACATAATTACCAATTCACGTTTGTGACCGATAATTTCAACTCATTGGTCTAAATTGTATTGACATGTTATTATTTGTGAAATTGTAAATAGTAAAAAGCAAAAATTCATTCATAAACGAAAGTAATGCCGTTGTCAAGAGAGTCCATGTTTGTGCAAGAATTTATCACCTCAACCGACAAAGACTTGAACGGTTTCCTCAAAGGCTAGATATACATTCGAAATTTCAGCGAAGTAAATAATATCAATGCATTTATTCGAATGTATTAACGACGAATGTGTGAATGATATTCTCAATGTGTAATGAGAATAAACAAATGTGTAAAATATACTTGTTGGTTGTAAGCGAATCGTAACATTTCTCCATTTTATACGACACTCACATAAATTTGTTCGACAATGTCTGCTCAGATTTATGTTTCGAATCAATTCCATAGCCTTTTATACTCTATTCATGTTCATGCATATTACTTATCTCTAAAGATTAAATAAAGTGGAAAATTTAAACCGAAAATGTAAACCGTTATTTTTTGTACTGATGTTGCAGAAATTTTCTACGAATTCCTATTTCTTGGAATTCAAGTTAATATTATTATGAATACTCTTTATTTCATTACAGTCTAAAGTTATAATTATTTTTTAATCTATCAATGCTACTAATCAATGCTCACTAATTATCTTCTGCAATGATTGATTAATAACGAATAGATATTTGAAAATTGCTTTAATTGCCAAATCGAGTCAATATTACGCCGCAAACAATTAAAAAATCTATTTTTACTAGGATTTACAATGATGAGTTATTGATAGTACACGAATGACTAAATAACTTGTTAACACTTAAAATGAACGTGACAATAGATATGAAATTCTATCCCACCACTTTACTCCGTGCTTTTCAATATTTGTTTTTCTTTTATTTCTACGAAAATCTATTATTGTAGAAAATTCCATTTGATAATTGATGACTGCAGGGAAAATGCATGTAATGCAACAAATGGGGGAACAAAAATACAAACTTTTTCCATTGCAAAAAAAAAAAAAACGATAAAAATTGATTGAAATTGAAAATTTGTTAATTGATTAAAAGTAAAAATATTTCTATATAATTGACATGTCGAATTTCCTTTATTGTTTAATAATGCAATTATAGCCGATGGCTTGCATTAAACACTCTTGACGAGTAGTAAATCGAGTTGGACAGTACATTATTGGAATTTACAATGCATCAGCAAATTTGTCGGTCCCTAGAATATCACAAAAATTTTTAAAGTGTGGTTATAATGGCTAGAGGATTTGTCGGTATTCAACTGTGTATACATGCGTAGTCAGTTCTATCCATATTCTTTCATTTTCGGAGCAGAGTCGGGACGGCACTTTATAATTCGCGACAATTCCAAAACAAATTATTAACAAGTAAAAAAGCTATAAGTTCGGCCGGGCCGAACTTTGCATACCCTCCACCACTTGCAACGAATTTTCAAAAACAATAAAATCAGTTAAAAATTCTGTTAAAATTTTAAAAATACCGAATGTAGCTGTTATATTAGGGACTATACGGCGACATTGACCTGCATACGTAACATTTGTCATAAGCCATTACAATATTCAAATACAAAACTTATGGGGGCTATACGAAGACGTGGACCTGCATACACAATCTCCTGTCATAGGTTGTAGCATCCATTACGAACATCAAATACCAAATTTGAAACAATTCCGGTGAATAATGTCGCTAAAGTCAACAAAGTACCGAATATCGGGAGGTACCCTTATATGGGTCTATACCAAAACGTGGACCTACATGCTCATTTTCAACACCAAAAGTCCTGCAGGCATAATATGCATTTGAGTACAATTTTATCAATCTACTTCATTTCGTTCGGAAGCTAGAGTGATTTCCACAGACGTACAGAAGGACAGACGGACAGACATCGCTAAATCGACATTTATGCTGATCAAGAATATATGTACTTTGTGGGGTCTAAAATGTATATTTCGAGGTGTAACAAACGGAATGATAAACTTAATATACCCTCCATACTATGGTGGAGGGTATACAAAAGGTTAACGTTATGCGAAGGTCAAAAAAAACATTTTTTTCTTTTGAGTTCTGCCTTTTTTGATTTTGCACAAACATACATTGCATTGTCTTTTTGTTTCACACAATACTCGCAGGATAGTTCGGAGAGAAAAGAATGAGCACTCAAATACAATTTTTTTTCAAAGAAAATCGCAGAAAATATTGCATTTTAGCACCGGTGAACGTACATTTTGCATTCTATTGGGAAAAATCCTTTTGTCAACTGCATACGTATTTATGTAGATTCCTCTTTCTTTCCCTCCTTATTCGGATGGCATAATTAACTATTATCCGCTTTATGCTAAAATATTATTTTGTTTTGTTATTAACCAATTTTCGTAGCTCAGTATGCTACGAAGGTGTTTATGTCAATCACACCAGCTGCGTATCGGTCGTCACAAGAAACGCCGTTTGAACCATTTGTCATGATATTGATAACAATTGAACAAAGTTTATTGACGATATTGAAGCGATTGTGCATGCCGAATTGGTGTTTGATCAACAGATTGTCGGAGCGTACAAGCACTAATGTTGTTAGCGAATAGACCAATTTATAAACAAAGAGGAAAATAATAAACATGTTTTTGTTGTTTTCTATTATTATTTATTTTTTGGCGGCGTTATATCTGTTGTTGAAGGAGGTAGGAGGGGGTGGATAAATCCAACAAATACGAACGATTGTCACCGTATTATTGTGTGACTGTTGTTATCTGGCCGTTCACGGCAATAACTTTTGTAACGAGTAAACAATGAAGACAGACACGCTGGCAGGCCGATAGACAGATAGTTAGGTGGATGTACATACGAATGAGCACATGCTCCATATCAAACACCAATCAAATATGTGCCGTTGACTTCTTATAAACTATTGCCACAACAACAACATCAACAAAAAAGGCAATTTCCCACCAATATTAAGGTCAATGTTAAACAGTTGTTTGTGTTCTGCTGCTTTTTGTCAATCCCACAAATTCCGGAAGCAATTCCTAATGACCGGAGGCCATGAAATATGCTACACTCTGCTATAGATTTGTTCTGTTTAGCTCAGTTGAAAACAGTTTGAAGGGTGATTGTCTTTACATCGAGGTGGCCTGGTTGTGTTTTGTACGACCATTTATTTGGGTTTAAAACTTTCTATACGCTTGGCCTTTGCTTTTTCAATGTTCAACACAAAGGTGAGGTTTGTTTTCATTTTTGATTACAATATTTTCCATTCAGAAAATTGTGTTTGATCTATCGATAATATATACAGAAAGACATTGAAGTTAATCTAGTGAAGATACATATAGTTGGACGATATTGCTATGCAATTATTTGATAAATAAAAAAATAAAAGTATGAGTAATTTTAAACACACAATTTTCCACGCGAATAAACTTTATTTTTGGAAATTGGGTGCTGAAGCTTCTCCTTAACCAGAACGTGGGATTCTATGTTAATGCATATATAGTTCGGATGGCGTAGATTCAGTCGGATTGGCCCTTACCGTGTATCATTTGAGTGTGTTCGTTTAAAGTTGAAATGGCGAACTAGAAATTATTCTATTGACCATTATCACTATTTTCGCTATTGCAAAATTGGCGACCAAATATTTCCATAAATTGTAATTTGTCTATATTGCTATATTTTTCGGTGTGGTTGATAAATACAGAATGCTCTGACAATAGTAGGCGATGATAGTTTTGGCTCTTACGTTTGGATTTTTTTGATACTCTTTCTACGAAATGAACAATTTTTTTTATGTTTTACAGTTGGTGGGGTAGTACCAGATGTGCGAGGATATTGCCCATCTTTAAAACCAATCCAGGCCAAATATAACAATTACAATTTGCCAAGCTACAAACAAATCGGTTGAATATTGTTCGCATCACATATACAGATGGACATCACTTAATCAA